AGGGGATGGAGATGTTTGTGAAGCCGTGGTGTCGCACCAGTCTGAAGATGTGATCCACTAGATCTCAGGGTATTAGATTGTGGAATGATCTGGAGGTTGATATTAAAAAAGCCAAAACTATGTACATATTCAAGAAGATGATAAAAATTTGTTTTAAAAAAAAAAATATTAAGTATAATGTGAGTTCATAAAAATTGTTTACAGTTGATCTTATATTTTAGCTAAGTTTTTATTTTTTTTATTAATTCATCTTGCTTTTGTATAGTAATTTTGTTTGGAATATATTTTGGAGACAAGGGGCAGATTTTATAAGAACTCATTCTTCTTCTGCTGCCTTTCATTTTATTTCTGTGATTGTATATCTTTTTTCTTTTCTTTAAATTGTATTATATTTGTTGTTTGGTTGAAATGAAATGAATAAATAAAACATACATACAATTCCAAAGCACAGACACGTGGACACTTTACACCACAATATTTTATGGCGTAGCTGAAATAAAATCATGGGACAAAAGATCAACAACAAAGATCATCAGCTCAGTGCAGGCAGCTGCTTTGAAACCGATCAATGAACGCCTTGATCAGAACCCTGATCCAATACCTGAGGCTGGTTTGGGACATCTCTGACTGAAATGAGAATAATCACAAAAAATGTTTGTCTCTAATCTGAAAACATGTCGGGTTTACATTGATTTGCTGTAACATGAGACACTTTGGATGTAAATAACATCTTTATTTGCTTTTGATGTGAATTTTTTAACACTAAAGTTAAGCTCAGGTTTTCAAATGTGATAAAAAAATTAAATTAAATACAATGTCACCTTCTTCATTTTTAAGGTTTCCAACATTGTAGAAAAATGACATGCCAGTGTCTCAACTCAAAAACATTTCAGGACGTCAAAACCCTTTATTTCACAATCTCCTACTACGTTTGAAATATAAATGAAACCACGGACTAATCTGCATTTGTGTGACTAAAACAATCAAATCTCTTCTCTAGCCTTGATGGTAAGAAAACTGTCGTCTTCACTCGTGTATGAACCAGTTACAACAATCAACCAGTTACAACAATCAACCAGTTAGAACAATTTTCACACATTTGAACACTTAGAAACAGACGGCACCACTTTCTAATCTCCAAAGCTCCTGGACATGATTCAGAAGATTAAATCGCTCGGTAAGCCCTGGAAAAAGGCTCTCATGGAAAAGTGTTGAGCCCATTTGTAAAGGCTAAGTGTCTGCCACCCGGGGGGGGGACTCGGGTGGGGGAGCAGGTCTTGATTGATCCCCAAGCCACACTTAGACCAGGCAGGAGGCTGAGAGCTCCTCACATTATCACAGCTCTGATATTTATGGCTGCTTCATCTCAACACGTGCACTAACACCTGACTTTAACGTTGTCGGTGCTGAAAAGGATCCATTTGTTATGTACTGTCATGATGCAGCTGGAAAGATGAAAGCAACCAGAGCAGGGTTTACAAAATAAAAGCGTGAAATTAATTTTTACATTCATTCTTTGTCCAGGTACTCGGTGGTGGGCTTTATTGATAAGAACAAGGACACGCTGTTCCAGGACTTTAAGAGGCTCTTGTACAACAGGTGAGACCTTTTCAAAGACACTCTTCAGATGGTTCTTTCTGCACCTTTGATTGTAAGAAACATCTCAAACACAACCAGCGGGGACAATTCTCTCATAACTAGAGAAACTGTGTTTCCTGTGAAAAGGCAGCGTGAATGCTTATCGCAGAAATTAGCTAAAAAAAAAACATTCTGAAATGTAGCTGAAATATTAGACCAAGCCTGAATTAGCAGAAGAAAACCGAAAGAACACATATTTGCTGCATTTGGTTTAAATAAGCAGAAATGAGCAGAAAAAATATGAGATTAGCTAAAAAAAAAATGGCTGAAATAAGCAAAACAGCTGAAAAATAGATGAAAATGCAGAAAGAAGCTTAAACTACCAGAAGGAATTTGAAAGAGCCAAAAAGGAGCTAAACAATGTGGAATTGGCTGAAAAAGCTAAAATTAGCAGAAAACCACTAAATATTAGCCAAAAGACCAGAAAAAGCTGAAGCTAACAGAAAAGAGCTGAAATGAGTATAGCAAGCTGAAATTAGCATAAAGAATTTAATTAGGCTGAAAGTAGCAGAAATTAACATGGAAAAACTTGAATTTATCTGCAAACAGCTGAAATTAGCTAAACAATGCTTTAAAAAAAAGTAGCTGAAAAGGTAGAACAAGCTTAGATTAGCAGAAGAAAGCAGAAAGAACACGTTTGCCCAATTAGGCTGAAAGAAGCAGAAATGAGCACAAAAATGTGGAAATTATCTGAAAAAGCTGAACTTGGCAAAAAAAAAAAAAAAACGGCTGAAAAGTAGCTAAAATAAAGGCAGAAAGAAGCTTAAATTACCAGAATAAAGTGGAGAGAGCACATTTTTACTGAAGTATGCTGCAAAAAGTTGAAATTAATGTGAAAATGTGGAATAAGCTGAAAAGGCTAAAATTAGCATAAAAATAGCTAAATAGTAGCTGAAATAGCAGACAAGCTGAAATGTGCTGAAATAAACTGAAATTAGCAGAAAGAAGTTAAAAGAAGCACAAAAATGTTGTAGTTAGCAGAAAGAATCTGAAACAAGCACAAAACAGCCGAAAAACAGCTGAAAAAATGTTTAAATTTGCAGAAGGAAGCTGAAGCAGAACAAAATATGAATGGAGCAGTAAAAGGTTGTAAACAGATCTAAACATCTGAAGGAGGTAAAATGAGCTCAATTCATCTTCTACGAGGAAAAAAAAATGGAAGAAAAGACTAAATATTTCAAAAAGCTAAAGTTGCACCAATACCAAAAGTCATAGCAGGATTGTCCTGAACGAGCTGAACGTTTTGATTTATGATTTTTTTGAAGTGGCTTAAAAATTGTGGAACAAGAAAGATGCAGAAAAACGTACTGAAGACAAATGGATCACAATTGTGTGAATGCTTCATAAACATTCACACAATTGCCAAAATAAACTCGCACATGCTCTTTAACTGCGATTTCTTTGTAATTCTCAAAGGATTTTATGTGTGTTGTTATAAATATACAGCTGTTCTGTAATTTGATGGCTCTTTTTATCTGTTTGTTTTTTCCAGTTCCAACCCGGTACTGAAGGCGATGTGGCCTGAAGGCAAACTGAGGATCACGGAGGTCACCAAACGGCCTCTGACGGCAGCGACGCTTTTCAAAAACTCCATGATCTCGCTGGTGGAGAACCTCGCCAGCAAGGTGAGGCGTCTGCGCTCTAAGCTATTTTATAATAGCTCAGAGCTGCGGTGTTGTAATAATACATACAACTTGTTATAACGAGCACACAAAAACATCTCTCTTTAGTGCCAAACCTTTAAAAATTGGGTTATAAATATGGAAAAAACATAAATATGTTGCTTTGTCGTAGAAATCGCAGGCATGCTAATTTATGCAAGAAACTGTGACTAATACCGTGACATCCGGTTTCAGTTGTGGGAGTCTAATTATGGGATGGTTTTAGAGATCAGCTATCTATTTGTCTTGTATTAATTTTTGTCCACTTTTTTTGTTTAAATGCAAATCTCTTTCTCCCATTCTGAGAAGAAAAGTGATTTGTTTTCTCTATTATTCATATCTCTCTTTAAACCATTTGTGTAACACATTTCTGGTCTTGTTGCACCAAAAGCTTTTTGACCACTAATTATAAGGATACCCTTTTGTTCCCACTCGAGCAGGTTTTTATCTGAAAGTTTTTTCTTTGCAGATGATGGTTGAATGTTTGTTGCTGTTAATCCAGAGCTGCCTTCTTTTGTAATCCGCAGGAGCCGTACTACGTGCGCTGCATCAAGCCCAATGACGTAAAGTCCCCTCTGCTGTTCGAGCAGGAGCGCTGCCGCCATCAGGTGGAGTACCTGGGGCTGCTGGAGAACGTCCGAGTGCGCCGAGCCGGCTTCGCCTACAGACAGACGTACCCTCGCTTCCTGCAAAGGTACACAACGTCATCGGTGCAATAACTGTGTGGGCTTCTTGTCTAAACTTATCCATCACATTCTGTTTTGTTATTTATCTTTGAATGGATTAACTGTGGGTTAAATCTACATTTACAGTTTAACTTGATCTGTTATTGTCAGCACATAACGGGGAAGGGGTCCGATTTAAAACAACGTTTTCTGTACTTGATGTCTGATGTTTGGATGTCTTAAGTTATTAACTCAAAATCTCTGAAATAACACAAACCTGTAACTTTTTCTTCAGATTTCTGTCGTTGACAACAGCTAGTTTATTCAGTGCTTCAGATTTGTAAGCAAATGTAGATGAACATATACTGCGATATATTATCCATAAATTAAACGGATTCATTCATTTTTCTGGACTGAATAATATCGTGCATTGAATTTAATTAAATGTAACGTGAGACGTTAATTTTCTTTGACCCATCAAATGAATGTGGTCATTTATTAACAGAATCAAAGTTTAACATCAAACATTTACATTAATTTGGCAAAATTGAAAATAACAGCTTAATTAATTAGCAAGCTTTACAATTAGAAAGCCATACGGCCATGATTTCCCTCACTTCAAGCTTTACAACAGACATTTCTGAAAATATCTGGATTGATTTCTAGCAGGATAGAAGAGTTTTAAAGATGGAAAATGAAGTTTATCTTGAGAGAGATGGGTGAGGGAATTTGTCTGTTATAACCAGAACAACACGCTCCTTCTGGACCCAGCTTAACCAAAGGTACACTTTGCGGTTGAAGATCGACTCTTTTTACCTTGGCAGAGGATAATTCCGACTTCGGTGTAGAGTTGCCTTCAAGCGCTCTCCAGCGTCTCCGTAAGGATAGTAGGGAACCGTTCGGAGTCGTGAGATCATCCAGAACAGACTTCATAGTTCCTCTGAACTTCTCTCGTCCAGCTTAGTTGCAGTTGTTCTCCAACATTCTGCATTCCAGCATTCTGAACTCTGCTGCTCTCGGAACTAACTCACAGCATTCTCTCAACGTTCTCCCAGCGTTCTTCTCCGAACCGAACTCGACTACGCTCGACTGCACTAGCTCAACACACGACTGGAGCTCGTTTGAACTAGGAAGTACCGACATTTAAAGAGTTCTATTTCCGGTTCATTTGAGAACTTTCTGATTGGTCGATTGACCAAACAGAGGTGTGTTTTGTGATGTAAGAGGTTATTAAAAGTCAAGGAAAAAGATTAAGTTTGTTTAAGAACAGACAGAAGATTGTTATGAAGAACTCAGACTTCGTGGAGTCAATTCTCTAGTATCTTTCTGTAAAAGTTAAACATGACATTTCTTTCCAGTAAACTTGCAGTTGACCGAAACTTGACCTTTGACCAACTTACACAACTTGCTCATTTCAGACAGAAGATCAAGAAGATGAATCATTACTCTGTAACACATTCTAACTTGATTTTCTACTTTGAATGAGGATTAAAAATCACCAATACTGTTTCACAGCGGATTTAGAATGAGTAGTTCACTTCAACATTTGAAAATGGTTTGAACTAAACACACTTTGATTTATCAAAACATTTGTAAAATAGTAATGATAATAGAAAAGAGAGTGTTCTTTCAATTGATCAGTGCAGGACACTTTAGAAAGTCTCTGGATGAACTTAATCTTGTGTTTCTGGACTCAAATCAATGAAATACAGTTCTTGTCCCAGGAAGGCCCCTCAAGGCCAGGACTTGACCTGAGGCTTAGTTCACTACACAAATATACATATTTTTGTCCCCCGTCGCTGAGTGGAAGGGAACTGGAAATGGCCTCCATCCATTCATCTTGCGAGCTGGATAACTTGGAAAAATAAGTGTGGTACAAACTTCCATTTTGGTGTGTGGCTTTATCCTGGTCCCCCTCAAACATTGGGATGCCACGTCCAAATCCAAGATGGCCTCCACCATATATATATATATATATATATATATATTGCTATAACTGTTTTCTATTCTTTACATTGCTTAAAAATATATTTTTCTCAAATGATTGTGGGGGCCAGTGGGTTAGCTAAAAATTAATCTAAGGCCATCGATGGACACCCCCTGGGTCCACCATTGTACCTGCTGGTGGATAAAATTGATTCCTTCGCTGGCCAGGCATAACATAACAAAAATAATCATTAAAAAAATTGTTTTTTCATAATTATCCTGTACATTTAAATTAGGCTTTGTTAAAACAACAAATATATCTGTACGCATGAGAACAAAGTAGTCAGAAAAGAACTAATAGTGACAGAATTGTAGATATACCTTTCGTTTATAATACAATCTACACAGTTTTACTGAAACTTCTCATATATTAACTTCAAAATATACATAAATCATTACAGCTCTGTTTTATTTCAGCTTATATTTTCTGAATTGGGCCAAAAATAATCTCATTAAATATATAAATTTACATGTTGGTTTGATGTCATGTTTGTCTGATTACTATCTCCACATGGTAGTACGTTAAAAATGATGAAATATGGTAATTAAACTCAAAATAAAACTGAAAACGTGTACTACTTTCCCAAAATTGTCAAAAATTCAGAGTTTTTAATAAATAATTGGTTTAAGAGCCAGTTGTCCCATCAGTAAAATCCTTTTATTCTCACTTTCTGTAATTAAAATATTCTTTTTACAACATTTATACATAAAACATGGTTCCTCCTGTGGTTACAGTGTTTCTTTTATGAATGTAAACAGAAACCTTAAGTAAGTGTTTTTATTGGTCCAGTCGATCAGCTCAGTTCCTGCTGCAGTAATTTGATTTTAAACCGTTATAATTAAGTTCTGTACAGAAAAACTCACCCTCCTGTTCATTCTTCCCTCCTTCAGATACAAGATGATCTCAGAGTTCACGTGGCCCAACCATGACCTGCCCTCAGACAAAGATGCTGTGAAGAAACTCCTGCAGGGCTGCGGGTTCGACCACGACGTGGCCTACGGCAAAACCAAAGTCTTCATCCGAACTCCTCGGACCCTGTTCAGCTTGGAGGAGCAGCGAGCTGAAATGGTCCAGAGGATCGTCCTCTTCCTCCAGAAGGTAAAACTAAATGGACTTCAAAAGTTTTTAATACTAACTTAAGTTTTAAATTCTTAAATAACAAATTTAAAGACTGACCAGTGAAAAGCCATCTGGTGTTACAAACAAAACATTTCTTCTTTTGTCCCCGATACATTTTCTCATTCCTTTGATTTACCAATTATTAAACCAACAAATTGTTTTTTTATCATATTTATTAAATGTGCGTTCTGCGAAAATGCAGCATAAATGACTGCTGGAAAAAAAGCTGAAACTGAATTGTTAAAGCTAAAAGAAGCAGAATACTTGCTACAAGCTAAAATAAGCTAAAGGCTAGTTAAAGATTAGAAAGGGGTCTCTAAAACTAAAATAAAAAAAAATATCACCAACAGTTGAGAAAGTACTGCTAATTACTAAATCTAGCTAAAAGTATCAAAAGGATAGTTTAAAGCAGAAAAAGGATGACTAACCAAAAGCTAAATTAGAAAAATCTGTCTCAAAGCTAAAAGTAGGTAAATGCCGGCTACAAACTAAAAGTAGCAAAAGGCTAGTTTAAAGTAGAAGAACAGTAGCTAAAAGTAGAACAAATATCACTAACAGTAGTAAAAGGATAGCTAAAAGCTAAACTAGCAAATGTTTGGCTTAAAGCTAAAGTAGGTAAATGCTAACTAGAAGGTAAAAGTAGCAAAAGGCTAGTTAAAGTTTAGAAGGGTCTCCAACAGTAGATAAAGTATTGCTAAAGGGTAAAGCAGCAAACATCTAGCTAAAATTGTCAAAAGAGTAGTTTAAAGCAGAAAAAGGATCACTAACAGTAGTAAAAGAATTACTAAAAGCTAAACTAGAAACAAATCTGGCTTAAAACGAAAAGTTAAAGGTTAGATAAAAGTAGCAAAAGTTTGGCTCAAAGCCAAACGCAGGTAAATGCTGGCTACATGCTAACAGTAGCAAAGAGCTAGTTTAAGATGGTAGAAGAAGGATCACGAACAGTAAAGCATTGCTGAAAGTCAATTTAGCAAAAGGCTGACTAAAAGTTAAAAGTAGTGAAAAGGCTGGCTCGGAGGTAAAGTAGCCAAAATATAAAACATACAGCCTAAAGACATGGCACCCACCTCCTGAATGTGCTGAACAGCTCAACCAGCACGCAATCATTCACACTATTAAAAAGCTTGTGGTTTTGAACACCGGTCGCTGTAAAGCCTCATTATTAACAGCCTTGATCTGATTACAACCTTGAAAGAAGATTTTCTGCGACCTCTGGTTTGGACGTCAGGCCCACGTTAGAATTCATCAGCCGTCGCTCTTCATCTCAGTAACCTCTGAGATGAGAAAAGCTCCGACTCGGCACAAAATCACACCAGCACAGAGGCTGTTTAAGAGGCGATATCATCTTTTATCAGTGGTGTTGCTCTTGACCTCAGAGGGAGAGCTTCAACACCAGCTACTGTCAAGTCACCTGTAGATGTTGTCTCATCTAGACTGCAACAAACTGACTCAACAACTGATTCTGTCACGTATTCCTTTTGTTTTCTGATATGACTCGTCACATTCAACCATTCTGAATGAATTAGAGCTGAAGCAACTGCATTATTTATAAATGATCAACAAAGATCATGCAAAAATTGATCAAGGTGTCTTTATTGTCATTCACATCTCATGTGGTACATGAGGTGGAATGAAACTATGTACACAGGGTCCCATTTACAGATTATTTATAAAACGAAAAAGCCAAAACATGAAATATTCCAGATTGTTGGATGTAGAGCTTTTTGCATCAGAATTTTTACGTTCATTATTTATTCAACCTTTATTTGTACAAGTTAGTCTCATTGAGTCAGGAGGACTCACTTTCAACAGAGACCTGTTTTAGACCACCTGTGGAGTACAGACAACAATATAACAATAAAAAGCAATTTAACAATAGTGTTTAAAACACTTACTGTTAGCAGTGTGGTCCTGTTAGCTGCATGGTCCTGTTAGCAGTGAGGTTCTGTTAGCAGCATGGTCCTGTTAGCAGTGAGGTTCTGTTAGC